CGTTCGGTACGATCGGTACGCCTAAAACATGACATTTATTATCAGCATACTGCATGTGTGTGAAGAATAGAGTGGAGTGGGAGGGAGGAGAGGGGCTCACCGAGATGCGCGGCGGGCGGTGGCGCGGGCGAGTCGTGCGCTGAGGCTAGGGCGGACGCGCGCGCGCGTTCTTCGGCTAGGCGGCGTTTGAGGGGTTCCCATGCGGGCTGTGAGATATGTAAGTCATTATAAGCGTAATGATGAATTGTATTCGAAAGCCGAATGTGAAGAATGCCGATAACGAAGCGTCTGTTAGACGATGCAGCACCAGAACAAGTGATTGTGCATCAGAAGAAGCCCGACACCAAGACTGCTCGACTGCGCTGCCATCCTCTACGTCCTATGTGGAAACGGATGGTGCCGTGTGGCATATGGACAAGACATCACGACAGCGACGAGCGGTCTGGCGGACGAAGCATCTCGGATGCGATGCAGAATGGGTATCCCATTCATGTATACTTGTCGGAAAGGAGCAACGTCGACGCGATGACAACCAGAGATATATTCTCCCCAGCGAGATAAAACAACAGTCGAAAAGAAAGGATAACGCACCTTTCCAGGCAAAAACACGTCCACGGTATCCGGAATCTCTCGTCTCCAAAAATCCTGGGGGTATATCTCTCCGCTTGTGAGCACAGGCGGCCGCGGCTCGTCGAACCACTCCTTCGGCACCTCCTCCGGCCTCAACGGCTCGCGCGCCCACAAACTCCTCTTCTCCTCTCCGCCCTCCTCAACATTGTCCTCGTCCGCCTCGTTCAACTCATTCGGATCACGTGCAGCCGACGTGGAAGAGGCAGACTCGCGTGGCAGCGTGACGGCGAACTTCTTCTTAGGTTTGACTGACGGAGGGGTGGACGGGCGGCTGGGGCTGGGCGGCTTGTAGTTCCTGCCCGCGCCGCCGAGCTGGGCCTTAGGCGGCCCGCCGATGCTCACGCTCTGCTGCCTCCCTCTGCGGCCCATCATCATCTGCTGCCCCGCGAAGCCCGGCGTCATCGGCCCCGGCGTCTGCATCGGCCCGGGCGTGGGCAGCCCGTGCGGGCCGGGCGTCGGCATGCCGGGCGTCTGGAGCGAGTGCAGCACCATCGGGTTTATGCCCGCCATGCTGAGCGCGAGCGAGGGGTGCGCGCGGTGGCCCATGCGCTGTGGTGCGCCGGGCACGGGCGGCGGGAAGAAGCCGGGCTGCATCGGCGTTTGCAGCGGCATGCCCTGCGGGTTGAACATGGGCGGCAGGCCGGGCATGCCGGACATCTGCATCGGGTGGAAGGCCGTCATCGGGCCGGGCGTGAAGAGGGGCGGGCCGCCGCCGTTCTGCGTGGACGGCGAGGCGGAGGGCGGGATGTGCAGGCGCGAGAGGTGTCGCGCGTGCGGGGGCGGCGGCTTCTGCGTCGCGGCCATTGCTGCTTGCTACTGCTGCTGCTGCACGTGAGCCAGAGGGCGCTCGTCGTTGGAGCCTCGACGAGCAGAGAGTGGGAGAGGTGGTGGGAGCGCGAGAGTGCGTTGGCAGGGACGGCCCTTTGGTTCGGTGATGGGACACGGACGAGCACGTGGTTCTGCCGATGCCGGAACTCTACCTTTCATTCTCCGTATCCTGAACCTTGCAATTCGTTGGCAACGTACCACCATCTACTCTATTGTGGCCGATCCATTGTTCTATACGAATGAACATCGATGCTATGTGACTTCGCTCTTGTTTCATTTCGCGTCTGAACGCGACGCGCCTGGATCGGCGTTCTCACCCGCGTCTATTGTTCACCACCGTAATATCTTTATTTGGGTACCCCAAGCAGTTGCTCGCGCAGCGCAAAGGCACGGCTGGTGCAATGCGGGCTCTGGATGAGCGGGTTGAAGTTCACGTCGGGGCTTCGGGCGCGGGTGGGCGCATGTGGGTGCGTGGGATGCGACGGCCCGCCGTGTTGAAATCCTAGCGGCGCAAGCACCCGGTCCCTGACGTAGGCTTAGAGACGAGCAGTGCCGAGACGTTTGGAGTATGCAGAGCAGTCGAGGCTCAACAGAATAGATTTTACATGAGTCTGACCGGTGGTTCTCACCCATCAGCCACGCTTGCCTCCTGCCGCGATGCGGCGCGCCGCGCTCGCCGCTCTCGTGCGCCTCCCGCTCCTCCCGACGCTCGACGTCTTTCACATCAAACTTGTATGGCGCGAATGTCTACAGCATCAACGCGTCTGGCCTTTGGCCTCCCTCGGCAAGAGGCCGTGTCTCATCGCCCGCATTTGTGCGAGTGCGGCGCCTACCGAATCGGCACATCTGTCGCGAGCTCTGGCCAGGGTTGCAGCCATCTTGTTGAACAGACGCAGGCGGGGATACAGTCAGCGCCCAGGGAGGCTATCGAGCCACTCTTCGTACGTT